AGGCAGATTCTACATCCTGCACAACATATGTGAAAAAACCTTTTTTTGTTTTGTTTATTTGTCTTTTGAGACGGTCTTGCTCTGTTGCCCAGGCTAGAGTGCAGTGGTGTCATCATAGCTCACTGCAGCCTCAAACTCCTGGGCTCAAGCCATCCTCCTGCCTCAGCCTCTTGAGTATCTGGGATTACAGGTGCCACCACCACACTTTTCTTTTTTTTTTTTTTAATTCTTTGTAGAGAATTACATTGCCTAGGGAAAAGCTTATTTATATTGCCAGAGCCAAGAATCTAACTCCACTTTACACACACATACACAAGGGATTTATACATTTATAATATACATTGAATTTTCCAGGAATGCAACCACTGTGTAGAGCGGGAGGAACTTGTACTTTATTTGCTCAGGGCTTTGCCAAGAGTTCTTCCTCATTTCAGACATTGGCACCACCACATTCTAGCATCAATCTGCACACACAGCTGGTACCTTCCTGGCAATTGGCCACTTCACAAATACCAGTCATTACCTCTTCTTTCTTGTATATTCTAGGACAAAAAACCATCACATACTTTTTAATTCGACGTGAAGGTTGGTACATTAGTCATGAATTTCATTTCAGGAGCACGAAAGGAGCAGCAGAAGGCATTAGGGAAAGGCAGCGCAGGGTCCGACGGGGTGGAGCTGCCCCGTGGGAAAGCACTGAGAGTGGGACTCTGCATTTCGAATCCAGGCCCCACCACTTACGCCCGCGTGAGCACATGCACACTGCCTGCCCTGAGCCTCATCCTCCCCCCGTCAAATGGGAGTCGTGCTGTGAACGACACAGGGTTATTGGGACGATCTGAAGGATCAGAGCACACACAGCATTTATGCAGAGCGCCAGGTACCAGGCAGGTACTTAATATCCATAGCAATTATTATTCACTGAGCAAACTTTCACCAGCACCCTCTACCCAGCAGCTGTCCTGGGTGCTGGGGCTGTGGAGCCACTCACAAGACCAGGCGTGCCTCAGGAGGCCCTGAGTTTGTCCCCTTCTTTCCTCCATGCAGACCCCGAGGGCGGGTGAGGCCCCAATGCGAGCAGCAGAGCAGCCAGGGCCAGCTCCCAGCTTGGCCGCTGGGGAGAAGGACAGAGTCGTACTTGGGCTTTGCACCGACCGCGAATGTGCCAGCACCCCTGAGCCCCTCCCATAGGCTCTAGATCTCTCAGCGCCCGACCTCCCTTTAAGGCCTGTCTTTCCCGTGTTTTGTGTTAGGAGGACTCTCTGTGCCTTCGAAGGAGACAAATCCCTAGCCTCACAGGCAGATAGGAGGGCAGAGAGGGAGCCAGCAAGCAGGCCGGCAGGCAGGGAGGAGGAGGAAGGAGACAGGCAGGTGGATAAGTGGATTTCCAGCCAGACCGGCAGGTGATAGACCTGCAGAAAGATGCCAGCCACAAGACAGAAGCAGGTGGCTGGGCAGGGGAGGCAGGCCTAACGCAGAGTCAGGTGGCCAAGAGGGCATGTGGACCGTGAAGATGGCCACATTGGCCAAAAGCTTTGGACACCTTCCCCAGGCCTCCAGGAGCAATCCTCTGCTTTTTGGAACCCTCCGGGGCAAGGCTGCCACTTCTCCACCAGGCCTGGGCTGACATCCCTGCAGAAGGCAGCACTCTGAGTACTCTATGTCCCTCTCTCTGAAGGGACTGGCAACCGTCCTCACCCTGCTCCAGCATGGCCACCTGCTTCCCCAGGGCTGAGTCACACCTGACCCACACCAAACACATGTCACATGCCAACCCAGACACAGACACACCTTTGCCTGCAGGCCGAGGTACCGAGAGATCTGCAAGCAGAGAGATGCATGGAAAGAGCTTGACAGAAACATGTCCAAAGTCGTACAGACGGCACGCTCACAGAGAAGCATGCACACGGACCCTCACGGAGATGCAGGTATGTGCAACACAGACTGAGGCTCCGAGGCACACATGAGGTCACACAAGTACATCTGCACACCGATATTCACGTGGATGGTAGGCATTAAACATGTCAACGCACTCCCAGCTGCACTGGGAGGACACACACGTACTTTGAAGTCACATGCGTACTTTGAAGAATTAGAGATACACCCCCCAGAAACCCACCAATGTTGCTGACAGTACCGCAGTATTGCCCCAGGCAGTGGGCGCATTCTGGCCTCATCTTCACCTCTCAGCTCGATTCAGCCCATCACGTCCTTGCCTGGTGTTTCCCCCACCATTCCCATCTCTCCTGGCTGATGCCACCTCCAGGAGACCCCTCAATGTCGGGTGTCCAGGGCTCAGGCTTTAGACACCGCTCTTCTCCCCCTGCCCCCTCACTCCAGGTGATCTCACCCACTCTTGGGGTGTTAAATCCATCTTATGAGTCTTCCTCGGGGCTCCGCCTGCCTCCCCGACCCCTGTACCCAGATGGCTCACGGACATCTCAAATCCAACAGAAAATGAAACCAACTTCCCCACCATGAAGGCTTTCGTCCGGTGCCCAGGCCGAATACCAAATTGTCCTAAATTCCTGTTTCCCTCGCGTGCACACCCAGCGCAAACTCCAGTCAGCATAACACTGAACCTGACCCCCTGCCAGCTCCCCGCCCGCTGGCCTGCCCACTGGGGCCCACCCTACACTGAGCCACCACTGGATCCTTCCAAAGTGTGTCAAGGACAATGACGCTTAAAACTCCCCAGGGGCTATACCCTAGACTTACAATAAAATCCAAGCTCCTGTGCAGGGCCAGCGAGGCCTTTCACGGCCACTGGCCACCCCTCCACCTCCCGCGCCCTCCCCTGCACCTGCACACCGTCCCACTGGCTTTGTGCCCTGGGAGTGCAGTATCCCTAGCAAGCTCCTACCCCAGGCCCTTTGCCCTCGCCCTTGGTCCTGCCCAGACACTGTCCCCAGATCCTGGCTGGCATGACTGCCTCGTCAGGATTCAGTTCTCACCTCGCAAGCCCTGTGAGAGCCGTGCCGGGTGGGGTCCACCACGTTACCCCGTCCCCTCACCCTGTGAGCCCTCAGCAGTATCTGAGATTATCTTCTATTGTCTGTCCAATTCAGCGCCAGCCCCGGGAGGACAGGGATTTGTGTCTGTTCTGTTTATTGCTAAATTCCCACTACAGGTGTCCCTCACTATCCGTGAGGGGATTGGTTCCCGGACCCCCAGTGGATACCAAATTCTGAGGGTGCTGAAGTCCCTGACATAAAATGGCGTAGAATTTGCACGTAACCTACGCACATCCACCCACATATTCCCCATCGTCTCTCCACTGCATATAATACCCAGTGCAATGTAAATAGCTGTGACACTGCATTGTTGAGGAAATAATGACCAAAAAGTCTATACATATTCAGTACAGATACAATTTTTTAAAAAATATTTTCAGCGTGAGGTTGGTTAAATCCACAGACGCAGACCATACTAAGGGCGAGGGACACACTCGGCGTTTGTTGACTGGTGGCTGTAGGTTTATTTATACATAGACATACCCACCCCCACAAAAATACTCAAGCGGATCACCACATAAATAGACAAATACACAGATAAGGCCAAAAATACCTCCACACACACTCACGCAACAGACTGAACAGTCACAGACACCCAGGAGTCCCTTTCTTGTCCCCATGGGAGTCAGTCCTGGTCTTTTCCCCACCTGGATCTGCCCTCTACTTGAACCCAGTCTCTGGGGCAGTGGGGGGGTCTCCAGCCTGGACAGGGAGGGGGTCGCTGGTCCATGGGCCTCAGACAGTGCCTTCAGCTATGTCTGCAATTTCCTCTCCCCCTTCCTTTCCTCCTCCTCTCTAAGGCTCCCGCCAAGAAGGCCTCCCCCTCACCCCAGCTCCAGCGCAGGGAGGGGAGGCCAAAGGAGGGAGGCGGTGGGGGAGGAGACTGGGCAGAAAGAAGACCCAGCTGCAGACACTGATCACACAACACATTGCATGCACAGGCCCAGGTGGTTGTGCATGTGTGTGCAGGGCCGGGTTTAACCAGGAGGAAACTGCCACATGCCACCGGGTGCAAAGGCGCACAGGCGCTCACGTGCACAGGCAGAGGCCCGGTGCTGGGGTCTGCAAGGCTGGCTGGGCCTGCCTGGCTCAAAGCCCGAGTCCCACAATCATTAACCCTGCGTGACCAGACCAGAGCTCGCCAGCTGGACACACTCACGCCTGGGCCCTGGGAGGAGGGGTTCAGAGTCCTCTCCCTACCCGGCGCGCTGTGGGTCTGGGGGTGCTGGCAACCTCTGCAAGGTCTGGGGAGAAGGGGCAGCCTTCCCTGGGTGAGGGAGCCTGGAGCCTGGGGTGAGGGGGGTAGCAAGGTACAGGGAAGTGTTTAGAGCCCAGGCTCTAGGATCGCAGATTGGTGGGTTCAAATTCTGGCCGTTTCCTGAAGTTATCCAATCTCTCGGTGACTCAGTTTACTTTATCTGCTGAGTGAGGATAATGGTACCCACGTTACAGGGTTGTTGGGAGTAAATGAAATAACACGTAAAGGGTTTATTTAGCCCATTGCCTGGCACCTAGGCAGAACTCCATCATCATTATTATTGTTGTTATTAGCAGCCCGGGGGCGGGTCCCCGCAAGGGCCTCCCCAGCGGTTTCCTGTGGGGGAGCAGACGGCCCGCGGGCCTCGCTCCCCCTCCTGCGGCCGCTCGCTCCGCTCCCCTTCCTCTCCCGGCCCTTTTCCTCCCCGCCTCCCCGCGCCCCGCCCCGTCCCTCCTCTTTCCTCCGAGGAAACTTTTCCGCCGGCTGGTCCATCGGCCCGTGTCCGGCCCGCGCTGCCGCGGCCTGGGAGCCGAGCCGGGCGGGAGGGGCGCGGGGCCCGGGTGTATGCGGCCGCCGGACGCGCCGGGGCGGGCAGCCGGGAAGCGGGGCGCTGACGGTGAGCGAGCCGGGGCCTCCGGGCCGGGGGGTCCCCGCGGGGCGGGCGGGATGGGGAGGGAGGCGGCTTCCCTGCCCTGGAGCCCGCCCGGGGAATGGGGAGGCCCCCGCGTGTGTCCCCCATCCCGCTCCCAGACGGCAGAGCCGGGCCTCACTCTGGGACCCCCACCAAGGGAGCGGGGGCTCCTGCGGCCCAATGGGGGGCTCCGCGGGGTCGAGGGGCGTCGGCGCCCGGGGAAGGGTTCCCCCCGACAGGGCCCGGGTCTGCAACGAAGGCAGAGAACGACTCTCCAGGGCGGAACCGGCCGCTCCTCCGGGGAGACCAGCAGCCCCGAGGAGGAAGCGGGTCAGGGGCAGCTCTGGGTCGGGGGAAGGACCTGACCTTGCCGGCCTCGCAGGCTGACAGGGGAGCTGCCCCCCAAGCAGCATGGACGCCCCCCGCAGGGACATGGAGCTGCTCAGCAACAGCCTGGCGGCCTACGCACACATCCGCGGTGAGGACCCCTCCCCGCCCCACGCCGCGCCTTCCCCCGCGCCCGTCCCTTACAGCCCCTCCAACCGGTAGCCTGGCCTAACTTCCCCCACCCTCACTGCCCCTGCCCGTGGGCGGCTCCCAACACCCTTCAAATGGGGCTTTCGCTGCTTGCCCTCAAACCTGGAGCGTGAAGTCTTTCCGCGATGGAATGGCTCCCACCCCTGAGGCCCCCCATGATCCCTGCCCTCTGCCTCCAGCTAACCCTGAGAGCCTCGGCCTCTACTTCGTGCTGGGCGTCTGCTTCGGCCTGCTGCTGACCCTGTGCCTCCTGGTCATCAGTATCTCGTGCGCGCCCCACCCGCGGCCCCGGGGCCCAGCTCTGCGCCGGGGCGCCCGCAGCAGCACCCTGGAGCCCGAGGACGACGACGACGAGGAGGAGGAGGAGGACACAGTGACGCGGCTGGGCCCCGACGACACTCTGCCAGGCCCTGAGCTGTCGGCGGATCCCGACGGGCCTCTCAGCGTCAACGTCTTCACGTCCGCCGAGGAGCTGGAGCGGGCGCAGCGGCTGGAGGAGCGCGAGCGGATCCTGCGGGAGATCTGGCGCACCGGGCAGCCGGACCTGCTGGGCAGCGGCACGCTGGGGCCCAGCCCCACGGCCACCGGCACCCTGGGCCGCATGCATTATTACTGACCGCCCGGCTCCCAGTGCAAGGCGCTCTGGAAGCTGGACATGCGAATGAGCCAGAGCTGCCCCCGGACTTTCGGACCGCCCCGCCCCCACGGCTCCCCTGGTGCTATTGGGCATGGACAGCCACCCTCAGAGAGGCACGCTTCCCAGTCCTGCCATTAGAACCCCGGGGCGGGATGCAGGGGCCCCACCCCTCTCTGGGGGACGAGGAAGAGGTGAAGGGACCAATGAAAGCTGCATTCTCAGTGGCTCAGTCTCTGCCTCTGTTACCCCTACACCCGGCGGTCCCCAGTCTTCTGCGAAGGGAGTCCGAGGCTGAGACCCCCGACTCGGCTCCTTTCCCAGCCTGCACCGCCTCTGTGCACACACCTGACGACTAGGCACACCTGCCTGTGTTCACAGACGGCAGAAAGAAGCACACTCCTCCTGCACCCACACTCCACCACCTCCCCAGCCCCGCACACATGCATTCCACACCTACAAATGCGCGGGCACACACAGTGCCCCAGGGTCAGGCATGCATTGCAACCACACAACACACCGGGCCTGGATACCCTAACCTTGGCGCTAAGGTGCTACCGGCCCCAGTGTAACCACGCCTGCTTGGGCTGGGCACTGGGTTCACGTCTGAGCCGAGGTGAGGCCAACCGGGAGGGGTCTGAGCGGGCCTCTCTCTCCCTCCCCCGGAGCACAGCTGGATCCCGGAATCCGGCTCTCTGGGCAGAGCCCGACCCTGCCTGGGCCCCTCCTGCGCGCCGTTTCTCCAGCGTGGGACTGGCGTCCGAAGGAGACACCCTCCCCCCCGCCCTCGACATCCGGTGGCTAAAAATAGCCGCTTGCGCAGGCCTTGGGAACCGTAATGGGAGCCACATGTTGGCCAGATGTGCCCGGGAGAGACCGCCAGGAATGCGGAGGGCCCGCCCCGCCCCCACGGACCAGACCGGCTCAGCGCGCGTGCGAGGCAAAGTTTACTTTCTTGCGTTTCCCAAAGTCGTGTGCAAGGACGTGGGTGGCCCAAGCCAGACGTCCGTCCAGGCTGGGCCACGGTCCCTCGTAGGCCCGCCCTCAGTACGTCTGCGTCTGCGCGTGGACGGAGCCCCGTGCCGGGGCCTTCTGGGTCCTCTGCATCATCTGAGCCTGGGCGAGAGCGGGCGTCAGGGCAGGGCCAGCCGCCAGCCCCCGCCCGCGCTGGACCCTCGCCTCGCCCACCTCCAGCAACCGGCGCTTCTCCCTCTCGCTCTTCAGCTCCTCCCAGATGTCGGTCAGCTTCCTTCTGCGGACCCCAGGCGGAAGTGAGGGCATGGGCCGGCCCCTCCCTCCCCACGCCCCTGCCTACCCCTAACTTACTCCAGCTGCACCCCCATCAGCTCCAGCGCCCTCCGTAGAGACTCCACCTCGCCCTTCAGCGTCGTTACATCCACCCTGTCGTTCCTGCTGTCCGTGGGATTTTCCAGGACCGGGGAATGGAGCGTGGGAGTCTCTTGGGGGTCTGGAGTTTGCTTGACTGGATGTGGGTTTTGGGGGGCAGGGGCTGTCTTTTTAGGGGGCACCTCTTCCTTGGGAGCCACCTCCTTTTCGGGAGCTACCTCTTCAGGGGGCACCTCCTCTTTGGGGGGCACGTCTTCTTTTAGGGGCACCTCCTCTTTCAGAGGTGCCTCCTCTTGGGGAGCAGTCTCAACTTTTGAAGCTGCCTCTAGGAGGGTTGTAGCCCCTTCCTGGGGGTGAGGCTTCTCAGGGACAGGCAAGGACCCTGGCTTGGACGCGGACTCAGACTGGGGTGGAGAGCTGTCCTGCTTCTCTAGGGGGCGTTCCATCACACAGAGGCATCTGTCTGAGGAATGAGGCATGTGGCCCTTCTGGGATTCAGCCTCTTTGGCCACAAGGGGCTCAACCTTCTGCAGGGTTTCCTCCGCAGAGCAGTGATGGAATCGAGTGGGCGCCCCTTCTTCAGAAAGCACCTGCTCTGGGGGCAAGACCTTTTCTAGGGAGAGGGTCTCATCCCCTAGAGGGGCCGTCTTTGGGTCAGGGACTTCATCCTTAGGTGGGACTTCTGGAGCAGGGGCCTCTGCCACAGAAAAGACCCTCTCTGGAGTGGAGGCCTTGTCCAGAGTCAGGGTCTTCCCTGGGGTGGGGGCCTTGTCCTCCAGAGTCGGGGTCTTCTCTGGGCTGAGGATTTTGTCAGGAGTCAGGATCCTCTCTGGGGTGGGGTGTTCTGGGGTGGGGGCCTTGTCCTCCCGAGTCAGAGTTTTCTCTGGGGTGGGGACTTTCTCAGGAGCCAGGATCTTCTCTGAGCTGGGGGCCTTCTCTGGAGATGGGGTCTTCTCTGGGGTGGCGGTCTTGTCCAGAGGAGGGGTTCTACTCACAGCAGAGGCCTTTGCCAGGCTGCTCTGCTCTTTCTCCTGCAGCAGTGGGGGTGAAGTCTCAGCTGAGGGCTAGACACCCTGGAGGTTGGAGTCTGGTTCCCCTTGGCCTGGGATCCGCTTCACACCACACCCGTGGGCACCAGCCTCTGCCCAGTATCCCCACTCTCCCACGCCTCCTGCGTCTCACCTGACTGGGTGCAGAGCGTTGCCGGGGAGCCTGGGTTTTGGATCGTTTTCTGCCAGGGTGACACGGACCCCCATTGAGGAAGCTGCCATTGGAGCCTATGAGAGCAGAACCTCAGAGGCCCAAGCCTACTCTGACCCTTAGTCTCTTCCCATCCCTGTCCCTCAGTGCAACCATGCTGTCCTCCAATCTTCCCCCCACTAGAGGAAGGCAGCCCTCACCTGAGCCTGCGGAGGGGAGCTTCTGACTGTCCCTGCTGGCTGTTGAAGATGTCCTGGAACATATCCCCATCAGGCCCTGGGGCTGGGGCCAGGAAGGGGCATTTCCTTCATACCCTCCCCATTCCCCCAACCCCTCCCTCCTCCTTACTTGGCTTTGCTGGGTCCAGTGGGGGCTGTCACCACCTTCTTGACTATAGGGAGGGATGCTTTGGACATCAACTTTTTTGGTTCTTTAATAGGAGCTGGGAGGAGAGAGAGGAGTGAAGCATTCATTCGTCCACTTACTCATCCATCCAGCAGTCGCTGGCCCTGTCTTGTGCTGTGCACAGGGGAATACAGACAGGAGACAAATCATTTGACTGTCTCCTGGGAGCTCCTAGGAAGCTGACCGCCATCATGCCACACAGGCATGGCAAACTGTGGGAGCACCCCAAAAGGACACCTAACAGACAGCTGTCAGAGAAGGCTTTTTGGAGAGATGGCTCCCTATCCTGCTAGGTTTTTATCCATACTTTTTCTCACACCTGTCCCCTGCTTAATGCCTATGGCGACTTCCCTGGTTCAGACCTCGTCTCTTTCCCAGACCACAGCAACAACCTTCCTCCATCCAACTCCCCTCAAACTTCGTCTTCTCCATCTCATTCACTCCCTAAGAGACCTCACCCAGTCTTAGAGCTTGAATGATCATCAATAAGCCCACGACTCCCAAATTTTCATCTCCAGCCGCTGCTTCTTCCCTGAACTCCAGACTCATATCCATCCTACTGCCTTCTCAATACTTCCACTTGAAGAGTTCATTGGCACACACTTAACATACCCAAAACCAGTCTCTTGCTTCCCATCCCCTGTGCCCCTTGAATCTGCCCCTTTCCCTGTGCTCCCGAGTGCTCAGACGACAAAATGTGGAGACCTCCTGACTCCTTTTATTTCCTTCTGCCGCACATCCAAGCCATCAGCAAATCCTTGTCCACTTTACCACCGGAATTTTCCCGAATCCCATCATTTGTCTCCACCCCACCGCCAACTGCTCCGCATCAAGTCACCACCACCTTCACCTGACTATTACAACAGCCCCCAACCTGGGCCTGGGCTGCACCCACCCTGCCTGTCGTGTGTTCTGCTCACAGCAGCCAGAGCAAGCTCGTGTGCTATTGAGGAAGCCGACATAAATAAAGGAAAATGTGTAGCGTGTTAGCGTTATTAAGTGTTATTGATAAGAATCAGCAGGGGTGTGTACAATTTTAAATGGGGTGGTCAGAAAAGCCACAAAGGTGACATCAGAGCGAACACCTCAAGACAGTCACACACAGTGACATTCACATCCTTAGACACACAAACAGCCACTCTGGCATAGGCACACACGCTGGCATTTACTCCTGCACACACATCATCACACACAGACACGTACGCAAGCCCGACAGTGGGGAGGGGCAGGGGTTCTACAGCCAGACACCAGGCGTTGAATTCCAGCTCCGTTCCTTGCTGGTTGTGTGATAATTTGGGCAAGAAACATGTGCCCCAATTGTCTTCAGCCATAAAACTCGGATAATAATAGTACACACCTTGTAGGGCTGTTGTTGAGGTTTGAGTGAGTTAATACATATAAGTGGTTCAGAAGACCGTCTGGCAGATAGTCAAACTCAGTAAATGTTAACTTTGACTTCTGCTTCTTGTAGTTGGGCTGATTAGGTGCTTTTAAAGGGCCCTCCCACTAGAGAGGAGTAATAGCCTGCTTAGGACACAATTGGAGGCACTGTTGGGCGTAAAAGAGGTAGGGGAAGTCCACAAAAAAGGGAAGAGCTGGGGCCAGAAAGGTGGAAAGAGGGCAGCTCTGCTCTGCGGCTGCTGAGCCTGGGGTCTGTGGTGCAGAGCAAGGCTCTGTTCCCTTGGTCACCACACACCAGAACCCAGTAGCCACACAGCAGCGCCACCCTTGTGCCACCTTTCTCCAGGACAACTGAAGTGTTCTCTGGCTACTGGTAGAAGTGGAAGCAAATCCTCTCTGGAAGAAGTCTTCCCCTACTAAGGCCTGCAAAGACTCCTACAGATTAAGATCAAGTCATGAGCTAACAGAAATCATAAAACACACAGGAAGGCAGGTCACGGAGAGTGGGAGTCAACACACACAACACACAGCGGATACTGGAATTGTCAGGTAGCTTAGCTATGTATAAAATATTTGAACCTATGGGCCAAGCACGGTGGCTCACACCTGTAATCCTAACACTCTGGGAGGCCGAGGCGGGAGGATTGTTTGAGCTCAGGAGTTCGAGACCAGCCTGAGCAAGAGTGAGACCCCTTCTTTACTAAAAACAGAAAAAATTAGCCAGGCATGGTGGCAGGTGTCTGTAGTCCCAGCTACTTAGGAGGCTGAGGCAGAAGGATTGCTTAAGCCCAGGAGTTTGAGGTTGCTGTGAGCTAGGCTGACATCACAGTACTCTACCCAGGGTGACAGAGACTCTGTCTCAAAAAAAAAAAAAAAAAAATTGAAGCTGTGTATAAAATATTTGAAGAAATTAAGGATGTGACTGCAACAAAGTACCAAGAGGGGCCAGCCATGGTGGCTCACGCCTGTAATCCCAGTACTTTGGGAGGCCAAGGCATGAGGATCACTTGAGGCCAGGAGTTCAAGACCAGCCTGAGCAACCTAGTGAGCCCTCATCTCTATAAAAAATAGAAAAACCAGCCAGGTATGGTGGCATGTGCCTGGGCAACAGAGCAAGACCCCGTCTATTAAAAACAAAACAAACCAAAAAAACCCAGAAGCACAAAAGTGTCTAATAGCAGGAGGAGACCAGATACATAAATTATGATAAACTCCCTACATGGGATATTATACAGCAGAGAAAAATAAATGAACTATATCCGCACACAACAGGGATGGATCTTAGAAACACAATGTTGATAAAAATAGCAAATCTCAGAAGACTATAAACATATGCTACCATTTTTATAAAGCTCAGAAGCAAATAAAAATAAATTTAAAATTTAGTGATACATTGTTTAGACACACATATATATAAGAAAAACTCAAGGGAATTACACACATAAAATTCAAGACCATGGTTACCTTTGGGGTGGGGGAAGTGAGGGATGGGAAAGGGAAGGAGCAAGCCACTGGTGATGTTCTAGTTCCTGGGTTTCGGTGACAGATCGTGGGTGTTCATTAAGTTTTATAGCATACATGTTATATATATTTTTGTCATGTGTCAAGTATTAAAGATAAATAAAAAGACATTCCCACAGACACACAGACACATATACAAAAACTATTCACTGACACATTTATATACACACAGCCTCATAGACTCAAGACACAAAGATCCATACATTTCCTTACAAAATGAAACAAAGCTATATGTGCCGAGAGCCACATTCTCAAGACACACAGAGAAACGGTAACCAATTATCATGCGCAAACTGACTCACACATTGGTTTGTTGATTTGCGTACATTCCCATCAGGCTCCTGACCCACAGGGGAGGGAGCTCCTATGCACGTGTGCTGGACCACTGGGGAGCTGTAGGTGTTTATGGGCAACTGGACTGGTGGGGTCTTCCAAAGAGCACCCCCCAATCCCAGGCTACCCAGGCACCCACCTGATTCCTGAGATACCACTTTCCGTGGAACGAGCTTCTTGATCTATGCAGAAAAGAAGTACAGGTTGAGCATCCCTAATTCCAAAAACTGAAATCCAAAATGCTTCAACATCTGAAACTTTTTGAGTGCTGACATGAAGCCACAAGTGGAAAATTCCATTCCTGACCTCATGTGACAAGGTACAGTCAAAACCTTGTTTCAGGCCTGGTGCGGTGGCTCACGCCTGTAATCCTAGCTCTCTGGGAGGCCGAGGCGGGAGGATTGCTTGAGCTCAGGAGTTCGAGACCAACCTGAGCAAGAGTGAGACCCCGCCTCTACTAAAATTAGAAAGAAATTAATCGGCCAACTAAAAATATATAGAAAAAATTAGCCGGGCATGGTGGCGCATGCCTGTAGTCCCAGCTACTCGGGAGGCTGGGGCAGTAGGATCACTTGAGCCCAGGAGTTTGAGGTTGCTGTGAGCTAGGCTGACGCCACGGCACTCACTCTAGGCAGGGCAACAGAGTGTGACTCTGTCTCAAAAAAAAACACAAAAAAACCTTGTTTCATGCACAAAATTATTAAAAATATTATATAAAATTACCTTCAGGCTAGGTATATAAGGTATATGTGAAACATAAACGAACTTCATGTTTAGATTTACGTCTCATCCCTGAGATATCTCATTATGTATATGTAAATATTCTGAAATCCACAACACTTTTGGTCCCAAGCATTTCCGATAAGGGATATACAACCTGTATTAGAATCTCAAGTGGAACCTCCACATATCTAAGTCCACCTTCATTTAGGAGTGACCCTCCAGCTGGGTCCAGGCAGAGCCATACTCCTAGCTGTTTTTAGGGAACTCCATACCCGTCCAGCTGTGTCCCAACTTTGTCCAAAATACCCTGCCCCTGCCACCTGAGTGTCTGGCTCTGTACTCACTGGGGGTGGTGGGAGCACAAAGTTGTCTGGAAAAACACCTCTTCTGCCTTGACACTCTCCTTCCCACCAGCCCTTATCCTCTGTGGTCTGGGAAAGCAACATGTCAGGGAGGAAGTGAGCCAGGACCCCCAAGCTCCAGGGCCCCACCCCTTCTCAACACCCCCTTCCCTGGGCACTCCCTGCCCTGTTCCTCTCACACCTTCCTCAGTACTTTCACCACGTCTCCTCTCCGAAGTGCCAGCTCGTCTGGGGCCTCAGGCTGGTAGTCAAACAGGACCCTGTAGGTCTCAGGGCGGGAGACTGAGGAGAGGTCAGTCCACTGAAGCCAAGCCTCCCCCATCAGTCAGCAGCCTAACCTCCATCTGCCCAACCGGTCTCCCTCCCCCAAGTCAGAGTAGCTTGGGAGTAGGGGGGCGGGGGACACTTTGGCCGGCTGCTCACCTGTCCGCAGGTAGTCTGGAGGGCTGTCATAGGTCAGGCTGCTCAGCTAGTTGGGGCAGAGGGAGGGAGGAACAAGTTGAGCCTCCAGCCACCCCAAGAGGAACTCACCATCTCTATGCCCACTGACCCAATTTACCTTGGGAGGCCGCTGGGGACCAGGACTGATTGAAGGCATATCTGGGTGACCAAGGCCTGGTGGGGGACAGTGAGGTTAGGGAGGATGATAATTCACAGGTTAGATCATGGGTGAGGGTCAAAAGGGTCACAGGGTCAGGATATGTGGATCACACGCTCATGCCACTGGGAAGGTCACTGGAGATTGCAGAGTTTGGTCCCAGGGGGTCACAGGGTCGAGGTCTCACTTGGGGGCCCACTGTCCAGCAACTCCACAAAGTTGGATGGGAAGGCGCCCAGCTGCCCGTTCTTCTTCCCCAGCCACCAGCCGTCCTCAATCTGGGGAGAGGGGGAGGACGCAGGGGCATCTGGTTCTATCCCAAGGGTCAAATCTTCCACCCTTAGCTCTGCCCGAGGACCCCATCCTCCCTTGCTCCTTCACCGCCCATCTCTGTGCCCCTCACGGCTCCCATCGCCCACACCCTCACTTCACCCATCCCCCTCACCCAAATCCTCCCATACCTCCTCCCCTCACCTCCTTTATCACTTCCACAATCTCCCCAGCTTGCAGCTTCAGCTCGTCCGCCTGCTCCGGGCTGTAGTTGAAGTTCACTTTGCACCATCTTTGGGGGCCCCGAGATTTGGCGGGGTGACCTGGAGTCAGACAAGAGCGCGGCAGCTTGAGCCGTGTGCCCCAAGTCCGCTGAGCTGGGATGGGGGGGCCACAGCACCCCTCAGTACCTCCAGGCCCCGCCCTAGGGCGGAGCATTGTGCTCGAGAACCAATCACAGGCCGCAGGCCGGCTTCGCGGCCCCTCCCAGAGCCGCGTCCGTCACGGCGAGCGGGGGCCGCCCAGGCAGCGCTGGGTCCGCGCGCCCGCCCACCGGCCCACCGGCGCTTACCTCGGCGGCGCGCACAGCGCGGTCTCTGCGCCTCTGCGGCGCCGCGTAGACTCTCCGGGATCTCCTGGGAATGAGGGCCAGGGAGGACGCTCTCAGCTCCAGGGCAGCGCACGCCCAGACCCCCAGCCCGCCCCTGGCCCGGCCTCACCTGCACTAGGTGCTCAGGGAAGAGGCCATAATAGCCCCCCAGCTCTCCGCGCAGCCACCCGCGTGCGGGCCCGTCGCGCACCTGCCGGACCACGTCCCCGGGCGCCAGACTCAGCTCGTCCCCCTTCTGCGCGCTGTATCCGGCCAGGACCAAAACCTCTGCGGGCAGAGGACAGGGCTGGGACGAGGCTCAGTAAGGCCCAGTCGGGGCAGCTGGCCGTGGCAGGCGCGCTCCTGGGCGAGTCCCTGGCTCCGTGTAGAGGACAGCGGAGTGGGGTGGTGGTGTAGGCTTTTGCCATTTCCACACGGCTGCAGAGGAGCCACTCAAAACTCTCCGCACATACCCATGGCTTCCCGGACGCCCTCCAGAGCCTGGCCGGTCCCGCCGGTGGCGGAGTACTGGGTCCGCGTAGGGTGGGACGGGCCGCGAGATTGTGAAGCAAAGGAGGCGTAGACGCAAGCCGATAGGTCGGGCTCCAGGTGCTGCGAGTGGGTGTGGGAGAGGGGGCGGCCCAGCTCAGCAGGTTTGGCCCCCAACCCAGGGGCGAGGACGACTCCGGGGTCCCTGGCCTGTGAAAGGGTCATAACTCCCTCTAGGCTCTTCCCCGCCCACCTCAATTTTAGTCTAGGTGCCACTCCCCTTCTCCCAGCCTTGGCCCGGAGGCTCCCAACCACAGTTTCCACAGATCCTTCCATGGCCCACTCTCTCCCAGGTGGCAGGATTTTAGCTGCAGGGGAAGAGGTGGGGAGAGGCACATACCAGGGTGGGGCCCGCCCGCTGGTAGCAACCGCTCTAAGCCAGCCCTGAGTGGAGGAGATAGCTGCTCTTGCCCGCGCAAAGACACAGCTGATCTACTTTAAAACCTCCGCTTTCCTACAAGGCGCACCCCTCCCTGGTCCCACTCCTTCCCCCGCCAAGAGGAAAGAGAGAGCAAAGACCCCAGCTTTGGAGCTGCAGGGGCCAGGCTGGTTTCAGAAAACACCTCCAGATTCTCCCTGGGGGTTAGGCAGTTAAGAAAGAACTTTACGAGCTTACAAGGCTCCCATTCACAGTAAAACCTGGAGCTGGCTAGAGTCCGAAGGTTAGGGCCCACCTACAGCCGGTCCCATGTGGGACAGGCTAACTTTCAGGTAATCTTCCTGCTCAATGAAAACAGAAAGCTGAGCCTGCTAACCACGCCCCTTGACTTTGGCCCCACCACGAAGAAAGCCAAAGTCCTGAGCCATGACACCAGTGAAAATATCTGGTTCTCCTGGGGTGGCCAAGGTACAGGATGAAAACCACTGCAGTGGGAATGAGAAGTTCCTGCCTGGCAGAGGGAGAGCTGAGGCTCCCGGGGAACAGAAGCAAGCCTGGGGCTTGTGAGGATGCAGCTCAACTGCAGGCTGGGCACAGCTTCCACAGGCATTTTCTCTTTTAGGGTTCCTGAAACTGCTGTGGAGGTATCTACCACCCCCACCACACACACACTCAGGGTGACAATGACCAGAGCTCATTTACATCTGCCACTTCATTTATTTTTTTATTTGCAGGAGGAGTTGAAACAAATTTTAACGGAGATTTTCATTTTTTTTCCCCTAAACATGAATCATTCAAGAAAAACCAACTTAACTATAGAAATGTAGCAAAGTAAGGGGAAAGAAGCGCAACAACCCAAGAGGCAAAGGCTGGGGGGAGAGATGGGCGCAGTCCGCATATAACATATGCATAAATGCCTATGATCCACCCGCTCTGGACCGCCTCCCCAGAAGGCAAGCACAAGGACCCATTTTAAGAGGATGTTTCCCCGCCCCCCAAACATCTGAGAATGTTTCAACTTAAAGCTTAAGGTTAAAAAGAAAAAAACAAAAACAAAAAAACCCCAAAGAACCCCATGAACCACCCAGCCATAACCACCTTCCTTAATCGATCATAGGAGTTTCCTTTCATTTTATAAAAAGATTAATAAAAAATATTGAAAAAATTATTTTCTCATCTTATATTTGTAAAGATAATAGAATTCATAAGTTTCTTAGAAAACAGACCAGAAACTGCCCTCCAGTTTCCACCCCTGCTGCTGAGAGGATCAGCACGACTAGAAAGGTTGGGATGCTGGAGCTGCTGGTGGAGAATGGGAAGCCCAGCCCAGAAGAAATCAGAAAACACGGGCATAGGGGCATGTGGGATGTTAGGAGCAACTCCACGTGATACATGGCTGCACGGAAAAGGGGAACACAAGGTGGTCAGAAAGGCCTTAAACTCCTCCTTGACATACAAAACCGGTTTTTACAAAGATCCAAGCAGTTTGGTCCCAAACTGAGGTGAACACTTCAATGTTTATTCACATGCTTTGTTTTCTCTTTTAAGAATCAAAGTTGCCCAAATTAAATCTTTCTAATATTACTACAGATGCCTAAAAAAAGAAAAGAACAAAAAAAAAAAGAAGGGCTTTTAAAATCAGGACAGGGAAGAAGAGATTGAAAACCATCAAATTAGTCCTCTTAGCTCCAAATGAAATGAAATTAAGAACAAAACTGTTGGTTTCTAATAGGGAACAAACCAAAATCCAAACATCACTCTCCCTCCCTACCCCTGCCCCACCCCTCACACCAACAACAAATGAGAAACACAGCTAGAGCCCAATGTGTTGTGTTCTGCTCAAGAGTTGGGCCTGACCCCAGGCTCCACGGCCAGCCTCCTCTGTCCAGTGGGACACAGCGCCAGGGATGCTTTCCGCTGTAGTAGGATTCTGCATGGCTGGTAGGAGGTGGGGGTGGGACTATCAGAATCTTCTTGAGGCTCCTGTCTAGCTCCTCACCAGCCATCTTCCCAACACCTCTCCCCACTGGGCCAGGGATCACATCCAGAGCGGCTCCTACTCAGTTGTGGGCTGTAAATTGTCCTTCTCTTCTCGGTTCTCTGTCCCACTCTCGTCGTCTTCAATCTCCCCTTCCTCCCCACTGAACTTGTCATGGGCCCATTTGGGGCTGGTACTGGATTTCCGGAACATGAACCGGCCCCGACCCCGGGGAAAGGCTCCTCGGCCACGGCCCCGGCTCACCCACTTGTCACTGCCTTCGCCTTCACGGTCATCATGCTGAGGGGAAAGAAAATTGCCATCAGTGCCAGAGCGAACAAGAATTGGGCAGAACTCTCTTTTCCGCACCCATCCAAATGTGCCTTTCCCAAAAGAACCAGTGCCCTAACCCACCCTTCTGCTCCTTTTCTGCCCTTCTTCCTGTCCCTCACTCCCAAAATGCAATGGTTCAGAGCCAAGAGAATATTAGTGACTTAGGAGTTCTAAGGTAATATAGCCTGGGCATTCTAATGATGATGATGATGATAAAACCTTCACTGAGCACTGAAGTTTAAGATGTGTATGTGTGTATCTCATTTAATCCTCACATCTGCCCTATCACTATCACCCCCCATAATGCAAACAAGGAAACAGGCTTAGGAACCTTAAGCAATTCTCCAAGGACAGGTTTGAGAAAGCCAATCACGCTAAAACGTGAAACTATGTCTGAACTGGGTTGTTAGGCAGTTAAGAGAGGAAGCAATACTTAGAATCTATAGCTGAGGCTCTAGCTCTTCCCGACCTTCTAGCCTCAGCCTCCCATCTTGTATATCCTCTTTAGTTTTGTGCAAGAAGGCAGCGTGGCAAAGTAAGAAAAACACTTAACCTACATCTCAAACAATGCCTGCTCTTGCAATCCCACGGGACAGAAGGAGAGATCCAATGAAAAAAATGAGAAAGCATTTTGAAAACCAGAAGTTGTTACCTCATCAACCTCATCACTTCAAAGAGTCTAAACCACCCACTCACACACGCCTTAGGCTCTCAGAGGTCCACTCAGCTAAAATGCCAGCTTCCTCTGATCAAGGCTGCTTGTCTGCCACACTAAATGAATCAGGTTGGCAATGCTCTTGCAAGTGGCCAATGGGACAGGGGTGAGGGGATCTGTATGGCATTTAATCCCTCCCCTACAGCAGTCTCCTTCCGACCAGCTACAACTGCAATATGTCTGTACATGCATTAAATCACAATTTTGGACAAACCAATTTAAGGCCTTGGTTCAGCTACGATATGTGCCCAAAGGCCCTCTGGCCCTTCCTGGTTATCCCCAGACACATACCAAGTAATACTTCTTGCTTTTGGGTGTGTACTCTGGGTCCCAGTCTTCTTCCCGGTTTCGCTTTTGAAAATCGTTGTTGCTGTTGTTGTTATTGTTACCAGAGTAGTTACCTCTGCCCCAGCCTCTCCCTCTGGCTCGAAACTGGGGGGAGAGGAGAGACACAACATACGATCATGTCAGGAATGGGAAAAAACCTCCCTGTATTCTGTTCACACATATTTCTGGTATGGAATGATAGGCAGCTGTCCTCCAGTCATATGCTGGTCAACTGGTCTCCAGCCATTCACTTTCTGCTCAAGTCTATAGCCAAGACAGATGATAAACATGGCCCAAGGGTCACCCTACAAACAGCAGGAATCAAGGTAAGTGGGGGAAGTTCTGAGACCAGAAGTCGTAAGAGGCTTTCTATGAACAGAAAAATAACTAAATATGGAAAGCCTGGGAAATCTAAGAGGGAAGAACCAAAGATACCGGGGTCTAGATATTAGATTGCTTACGTCAGAGGCAACAAAGCCAGTATTCTGATGAAACAAGGTTGAGAACTGGTGGGAACAAGGGGCTTAGAGAGAAAGGGGAAGAGGGAAGGGTCTTACAAAGTTTCCTCGAGCCCTGCCACCTCCTCTTTCACTTGGACCCACGAAGTCTTTGGTCCCTAGTCTCGATTTGTCAAAGCCCGTGGTGCTCTCCTCTCTTTCCTCTGTCTCCTCAGTGTACTCTTCTGCTTTGTAGGAGTGAGATGACTGGGAGGAAGAGGAGGATGACCTGGACCTGTCTCGTGCTCTCCGGTGCTTCCTATTAAGAGAAGAGCCAGGAAAGTCAATAAGCTCACAGGGGACAGCCCTTGGCTAGGGCCTTGTGTATAAGCAGCACAGAATAATCAGGAGTGTGTCTGTGATGAAGAAACTGAGGATGAGTAACCTAAACAGCTCAGCCCCAACCCACCCACCCAGGATACCTGGGGCACCTCTTCCCAATTCTGTCAGTCATGTTCAATAACACATCTGTCTGAGTCTGTGACAAACACATGACATACACAAGAAGAGGAACAAAACACAGTCCCTGGCCTCCCGTAGCTGGGTCTAAGACATATGCAAGGATTAGAAAGGGAGAAGGAAACTGACAGTGTACTGAGAAGTACGATGCATCCGGTACTGGGCCAAAGGCTTTGTGTATGACCAGCTGTCAGTGCTTTATATCACTTTTGGTTCTCACAGAAATACTGCCTGTCTTATGGGGTTGCTCTAAAAATTAA